GTAATCCATACCAAAGGCTGTGCTCTTTGATCTTCATCAGTAAATGTTTTAAGTCCTCTTCTCTTTCAGCAAACAAGGTTGTATCATCTGCATATCACAGGTTATTAATGACTCATTAACAACCTGCAATATATATATATATATATATGTAAAATTTCCCTCTAATGGGTCCACATGGAGTTCTGGTGTGGCCCTGTAGGATACATACTGGATGGCAATATCAGTTTGAAAACGATCAGCAGTTCAAACCCACCAGCCACTGCTTGGAAACCTTATATAGGGTCAATATGAGTTGGAACCAACTTAATGGCACTTAAGAACGACAACAACAAATGGGTCTATGACACTTAAAAGGAATAAAGAACCCCAAAGCGATTTGCAGCTCATCCATTTGCAGTGCAAACTCATCAGCTGCTCCTCGGAAATCCTATACAGGGTCACAGTGAGTTGGAACTGACTCGATGGCACTTAACAACAACGACATTACAAGTGTATGATATTTCTGATGGACACACTTCTTTTTTCTCTGAATGACTAATTGTAATACGTTGTCAAATGAGGTCATTCTTATGCTGCTAAGTATTTTTTTCGTTTCATCTGTTCCGGATTCTATGCCTTTGTAAAACCGTGCTGTAGACTTCTGTGTCTACTCTGAATGGCCTGGTTGATCAGGTTCTGGTTTTATCCCATGTTCTGTCTGCTCTAGATACATTTTATATTGCTCTTCAGTCGACAAGGGAAGTTACGGCTGCAGAAATGGTACACTACTCTACCGGACAAAGAGAGGAGGAAGATCATCCGGGACATCATTCAGATTGTCCTTTCCCGCGGGCAGAGGACAAGCAGCTTTGTTGACTGGAAGGACCTGAAACTGGTGTATAAAAGGTGTGAGTAACTTTCTGAGAGCTGCATGTCGGACGTTTATTTTGGCGGGTTCGAATCCTGTACATTTCTGATGGTGACACCAATCCCGTCACTTACTGAACTGTTTCAAGCCAGGGGCTCAGTGAAAATGAAAAGAGCCCTCACCCTCATTCATGCAAAGGCCTTTCATGTGCCAGGATGGGACCCAGGCATGTAACCCATGCACTGATACTACACACATGCATTTGACAATTATTTATAAGCACCTATATTACATTCCTTTCAAGCTAATCAGTTGCTCCTTGGAAACCCTATCCAGGGTCGCTATGAGTCAGAACCGACTCGATGACACTTAACAACAACAACATATTGTATTAAAGGAGCTCTGGTAGGATCGTGATTACGAATCAGGCTGCTAATCTCAAGGTCAGCAGTTCGAAACTACCAGCGGTTCTGTGGGAGAAAGATGAGGCTTTCTGCTCCCATAAAGATTTATAGCCTCGGAAACCCTGTGCAGGGTCGCTATGAGTCAGAATCGACTCCACGGCACTTAACAACAACCACATCTCGGTGTGGCACTGTAGGATCAGCACTGGACTCCTAACCACAAGGTTGGTGGTTCAAACCCACCAGCTGGTCCTTGGAAACCCTATACAGGGTCACTATGAGTCAGAACTAACTCTCCAGCACTCAACAACAGAAACAGCATTATATTCCTTTTGTTCTAATGGCTGGAGATACAGTTGACAAGACACAGCATTCCTGCTCTTCTGAGCTTTGTTGTTGAGTGCTGTGGAGTTGGTTCTGACCCATAGCGTCAACCCAGTATAGGGTTTCTGAATTGTGGCTGGTGGGGTTGAATCGCCAATCGCTTTAAATATAAACTATTTTCACTTAGTAACAAATGGGGAGCCATTGTCTGAGAGAGATGGGGACTGTGTTTGAGTGGGCATCTCTTACAGTTATTATTCATGTTTGCAGATGAGTGAACTAAGACCACAGAGAATATAAGTAATTAGTTCCCAGTGACAGTAAATGAGTGGTAATTAGCAGAACCAGCATTCATATCCTGATTTTTCTGGCTTCAGACCCTAATATTTTCTTTTGACTACACCTCCTTGCCCGGGAGAGAGGAAACCCAGCTTTGAGATGAGGGAACTGAGACCCTGAGAGGTAAAGTCAATTTGTTTATAAAGACCTAGATAGTTGAGGCTTAAACCAAAATCAGGAGGCCCTGGGTGGAGTAACTGGCTCACATACTCAGCTGCTGATGGAAGGATTGGAGGTTTGAGTTCACCCAGAAGTACCTTGGACAAAAGTTCTGCCAATCTATTCCTGAAAAAAATCAGTCTCCATGAGTTGGATTCAACTCCACAGCAGCTGTTTTTAAGGCAGAACCAGGACACAGCTAACCTGACTGTATACCTACCATTTTACTGTAAGTTTCAGAAGGAAAATTCACGTTAGAAATGCACTTAGAGAGAGGATGTTTATAAAACCCAGGCGCGAAAAGCAGAGGACTGTCACAGATTGATACCGCATGGAGTAAATTACCAGGACATTCTTGGGCAGAGCTCCCTCTGCTGGTCTTGGGTCAGCACGGTTAGCCCTCGCATCTTGTAAGACTTCAGTGGAGGCTGTTGTTGATAATTAGCCTTCCAGGGGTGGTGGCAAGGCAGAGTCCCAGGAACAACTTGCCAGCAGAAAGCTCGTTTCCCCCCCCCCGCCGCCTGCTGCATTTAAAACTTGACGTCTCTTGGTAATTTAAACAACTGCATGAAGAGTAGACTTTGATGACTCTCACAACAGGTATTTGCAGGTACTGAGTATCCGACAGTGACCATGGCAGACTTGTTGGGTCTCTGTCTTTATGAAACCAGTTATCTAGATGGGAGGACAAACACTGCAACTGACAAGAATGAAACTAGACTAAACTCCTGTTTTTGGTTTAAGCCTCAATTATCTGGGCGTAGAGCAGCTCTGATAGTCTGAAAGGGTAGTGATTTCCCAGAGGAGACGGCACCCAGACCGAGAATGCTGGGAGAGAAAGGAGTGAACAAGATGAACAGAGGCGGAGTAACTCAGGCGGTAGAAACATACAACTGGAAGGCAGGGAATTTAACTGACGGGCTGATGATAGGGGCAGGCAGAGAGTGTTGGGAGTGTAATATGTAAATGAGAGGCCATGGCATCCCTAGAGCTGTGGTCAGGGATGTCCAACTGCTTACGTCTCTCCAGGGTAGAACTTAATATATTGAGAACCTTCACGTTATTAACAGAAGGAATCCAATCACCAGGCTTTTTACACCATCTCTTTCACATGTCAGGAGACTATTGGATGCAACCAATACGTTAAAGTTTTCTTGGAGGGGGAGCATCTGTGAGAAGAGCTTTTGCACTTTCATCGGGGAAAACTGGCTTCCGGTTGTTTAATGTGATATGATATTTTACTTTGTTTTCTTTCCAAGGTATGCTAGTTTGTATTTTTGCTGTGCAATAGAAAATCAGGACAATGAGCTCTTGACACTAGAGATTGTGCACCGGTATGTGGAGTTGCTGGACAAATACTTTGGAAATGTAAGTGTTCTGGTCTACTAGAATTAGTCATAGTCTCCATCTTTGGTCCTACTTTGCCTCCTCTCTCGCCAGTCTGTAATAAGAATTTGCATTTGTCCCAATGATCACATTGCTACTTCTGATGAGAATACAGGCTTTCCATTAACAAAGGAAAGAGCCCAAGCTATCAAGAGTCTGATGATGTCTCTCTCTCCAGACCACAAACACTCCAGAGACCTCATCGATCCACGTCTTTAACAGCCCGAGAATTTCATGGTGAAGGATTCCTTGACAGTCTGTCCCTTAGTCCACATTGGCTTTACCATCTCTTTTGTGTCTTGATGTCCTGTCTCCTCTCTGGCTTCTTTTTTTCTAAGCTACAACTATTCTTTAATCTTACTTATATTTCAGAAGAAGAAGAAAAAAGAGCTCAAATCCTTTTTTGTTCACATTGCTAATCCATCTCCTTTCATTTACTACCAAATAATATACCGTAACAGGTTACCAATCCTTATTGGACTCATTCACTCCTCAGCGGTTTAGAACTTGGGTTCCCTCTTGATCGCTCAAAGGAAACTATGACGTTACCAAGGGCCTCTTCCTAGAGGGTAATTAATACCAAGGACATTTCTTAAATCTTTACCTGGTGCACTGAATCCTTGCTTATCTCTTTAACTTTTCTCCTCTTTGTTTTTTCCATGACACTGAATTCTGTTGATTCTTGTCCTCTATTTCTGAAGATCCCACCCTGGTTCTTTCCACTGGCATCTCTTCTTCCTTCTGTCTTCTAAGTGCCCACTTCTCTTCCTATTTTCCTTATGTTGCCTACCTGAATTTCTTTCCTGGAAACCCAGCCCTGCATTGCCAGCTGACTGGCTTCTCACAGCCATCTCAGTCGAAGTTTGACAAGAACCCAAACTTGTCATCTTCTGAAAACTGCCTTGGTGATTGGATTGACTGTGTCCTGGGTTCCTTCAATGCAAAGGGTAGTTAGTGGCTCTTGCATCTGTGAATTGCCTCTGTCTACTCAAACCGGACTGATCTTATTTCTACTCTCATTAGTATAGCTTGAGTGCAGATCTCAGTTGTGTTTTTCTCTATCAACCTTGTCCTCTCCTGGCCTGTTATCTATAATGAATGAAATTCAAACTTGAGAACATTGATCTCAGACCACGTCTCTGACTTTCTTGTTTCCCTTTGTCTCCCTAACATACTCGGTTCTTCAGTGACACAGATGGCCTTGACTCACCTTTCTCTTGTACAAGATTTGCTTGACCACCACATTGCAGGTCCCTCTAGACCATGGAGTCCTGGTGTGGTACTGTGGGTTAATGTGCTGGACTGCAAGGTCATTTGAACCACTACGTCTGTGGTTCAAGCTCACCAGCTGCTCCTCAGTAACCCTATACAGGGTCGCTATGGGCCGGAACTGACTTGATGGCACTTCACAACAACAACAACAAGATCATAACCTAGGTCGGATATGTTTGTGTTTTTTATTACTGTGACCACCTCTGGGTCAGATTTCAGAAATGTTTCATCCAGTTCATCTCAAGAAACAAATCATTAGGTTTGTGGAAGGCTTTTGCCTCAGTAATACTGTTTCCTTGCTCACGAAAGACTAAGCTTTATTAATATTGTTAGAATTCGCTCCCAAAAGACTTTCCTTTGTTCTCTTTACTGGAATGAGAATCATTTACAGTTTTGGTTGGGACTTTGTCAGATTTACTTTAACCCATCTTTACACAAGGACAAACAATTGGAAACGCTCTGAAAATATTTCTTTTTCTTCTTTCTCTCCTTCTCTCTCTTCCTTTCTCTTTTTACTCCTCTTCTAAGCCTTTCTTGTCCTCTTCCTCCTCTTTTGTAAATGACGTTTTAAAGCCTTCAGTGTTGCTCCCGGGACTTCAGTTTGTTGGTCAGTATGTAGCTGAAACAGGACTGTTAGACCATCTTTTCTTTCTCTTTTTCCTGGTTGACCAGCTAATTTTAATTTTTAAGAGAGTTTTAGATTAAGTAGGAGTCCTGGTATAGTGCTTTAAGGTAAGCACTGGACCACAAGGTCGGTTTGAACTGCAAAGTTGGCGATTCAAGTCCACCAGCTGCTCCTTGGGAACCTTATGCAGGGTCATTATGAGTTGAATCGACTCTAAGTACTTAACAACAAGAACAAGATGGAGTTCATTTTAATTGTTAAGAGATTAAGATTGTTAAGAGATAGATGTTAGTAGCATGCTTTCAAGTTTGAGATTATTTCATTCTTGGAGTCTTGGTGTGGCACTATAGGCTAAAGCTCTGGACTGCAAGGTTGGTTTGAACCATAAGCTTAGCGGTTCAAGCTCACCGGCTGCTCCTTGGAAACCCTATATAGGGTCACTATGAATCAGAACCAACTCAACTGCAATGAACAGCAACAATAGCAAATTATTTTAATAAGGGGTCCTAGGGTTAATGCGCTGGACTGCAAGGTTGGTTTGAACCTCAAGGTTGGTGCTTCAAACTCACCAGCCGCTCCTCAGAAACCCTATACAGGGTTGCTGTGAGTCGGAATGGACTCGACTGCACTGAACACCAACAAGTGACACGCTGGTTAAGCATGCAGCTGCTGGCAGAATGTTTGGTATTTGAGCCCTCCAGTGGCTCCACAGGAGAAACACCCTGGTGACCTGCTTCCGAAGATTACAGTTCTACGCTGTCCTGTTGGGTCACTCTGAGTCAGACACCTCCCGATAGGAGTTCTGACACTGAAATGACCTTTCACAAGGACCTGACAGGGTTTTCCTGAGATTTTCCGTGATATGCCAATGCCCCATCATTTCTGTGCCCTGTTTCCGCCTGTGGTTTTTACCTAGGTTAAACCCACCATGGTAATGCGAATTGGGGTGGAATTTGATCTCAGTTTGACTGAGTTACAACCAGAGATTTCAAAACATGTTCTGACTCTCAAGAGAATTTGAATCACCTTCACTCTTGTTAAGTCCAGTTAAAAGTACATGGAGAGTCAGGATGAATTTCCATTTCTCTATCATTAATTTCCCATCCTATTTTGGCATACCTTTGGAAGCTCTTTGTCAAGAACCTAAATGTAATTCACTAAAAAATTCAATGTATCTTTCATTAAGCTAAGAGCAGCTAAGAGCAATTTAAGACTATTTGCTCAGTAGGTGTTCAAGTCTTATTAATTAACAGTGATGAGCCAAGCCTTCTTCCAGTACTAATTCCCATTGACTTCATCTCAGGAATACTCTATTGCTCTTTGGTGTTCTTTTCCTCATGTGTTAATACTGAAGGTTTCCTTGAATTCTGCCCTTGTGTTATCCATGGGGAATCTTTGCACTTAACTTTTCCTGTAACATCAGAAAATATTATTTTCCTATGAGAGAAAACCCCAAATCTTTGACTACCCATTTAAGTTATGTACTGTTTTCTTTCTTTTTTTTTGTTAGCATTTTTCAATTCCAAGGAGATTTGCAAGGATTAACTAGTTAATCTTTCGATCTTTCTAAGTTGCATTAACCCCCATTTATAGGGGCCAAGAGGAAATGCCTCAACATTTCACAGTAGACCAGTATCCTTTGAGACTTTAGATGCTTGCCGTATTTTTCCATTACAGATTATAGCATAAGTTTTGACTGGTGCACTTGGGGTGTGTGGATGTTGCTGTCCTTGAGACAACTTGACCTTGACTTTGGGAATTTTCTTGTTGCAAGAAGTGTGCATCCTAGAGCCTGGTATTAGTTACCTCACCTACCAGGTCTTTGGTTTACCTCATTTTATAGATGAGAAAAAAGAGAATCAAAAAGGCTGTGATCGAAAGATTTACTTTGCTGATCTCACAGGGCTGCTGTGAGGATCAAATGTTTAGTGCAATTAACATGACTTTATAAACTGCTCATCCCTATAGCATTGTATTATAATGTATAGCTTTGTGATAATGATTTCCACTTTATTCATAGCTTTATAAATGTTTCTATAATTTCTTACTATCCAAAGTCTTTGGTGTATATAACTTGAATTTTTTTTTGCATTTACTTTAGTAAAGAATTCAGTTAGGGCAGGTATTTCTTAGACTCTATTGCAATTACCAAGATGTCTCAAAGGGTTTATGCTTAGAGTCCTGGTGTGGTGCCGTGGGTTAATGCGCTGTACTACAAAGTTGGTTTGAATTGCAAGGTTGGCGGTTCAAGCTCAACAGTCACTCCTTGGAAGCCCTGTACAAAGTCACGACTCGATGGCACTTAACAACAACAATAGTCACTAAAGGTTGATGGTTTAAACCACCAAGATTGGAGTCCACTCAGTAGTACCATGGAAGAACGGCTTGGCAATATGCTTTGTAAAGATTACAGGCATGGAAACCCATAGAGCTCAGTTCACGCTGCCTCACATGGAGTTTCCAGGTATCAGAATCAATGCAATGGCAGTAGATGGTTTTTTTTTTTTTTTTGTTTGTTTGTTTGTTTGCTTTTGGTGTTGAAGTTATTGATAGGCCAGGAATAATCTCACTGCATATGAATTCTGTGATAATAGAACACAAATCTAGAACATCAGAGATAAAATTAAATGAACAGTTTCTATTTTTTAATAAACTCTCTTGAAGATTATAGAAACATGAGAAAATGAGGAAAAAATTCAATAAAGAGACTCATGCATTTCCTAATTAACAGGGTAAGTGAGGAGGAAGCCATGTGTATTTGTCTAATGAGATAATGTGGAGTCAGTCAGCATCAAGGGCTTATTGCTGGTGTTACTGAGAAAGTTTTCTTAAGGTGAAATGTGCAAGTATTTGCGTAATTAACAAAGCCCTCATATGGTGTGGTGGTTCCTGTCAGCTAAGAGTAAAGTTGGCAGCTCTTACCCAACCAGCTGATCCTTGGAAGACAGACAAGTGAATCTGCTTCTGTAAAGACTGTTGTTGGTGAAGAAATGCTATCGAGTTGGTGCTGACTCCTGGCGACCCTTGTGTATCAAGAGTAGAACTGCATGCCATAGGGTTTTCAATGGCTGGTTTTTTGGAAGTA